CCCCAAAACCCCAAAACCCCAAAACCCCAAAACCCCAAAACCCCAAAACCCCTTAATACTAGAACTTGCTTGAAATTATATCGTATTATATTTTTAAAGCAAAGAAATATTTTTTGGCATGATTAGAGAAGGTAATACAAGCCTTATTTCTTTACCTTACTTAAGGGGAACTCCCAAGGAAGCCCTAAGAGTTTTATAAACCTAGAAATAAATACCACGGGTATCTTTCCCGTGGCTTGATAGATGAGAAGAATGGTCGGATGATCTCTTTTCTGTCTTTCTCAAGATACAAGGAATGCTCATCCTGGGTCTCCTTTTATGGATAAATTTCGGGATACAACCAGGTCTCTCGAATTTAACTACACTAATTATTCAAAAATTATACCTGAAGGAGTAAAGGAAGGGCAGGATGCTGATCCTCCAAGTATACTTGTGAGTTCTTCGAGGGCATCTTCCCTATCCTCAATCTCATCTTGCAAGGTAAACTCTTCATCAGCATCGAAGGATTTATTTGTAATCTACAAATTCATCCTCGTTTGGCTGTAGAGGAGTTCCTTCTCAAGCATCTGAAGGAGAGAAGGATCTCTCCAGAATGGGACTGCTCTCATTCTGAGTGGAGGAAGTATTACCTTCTTCTGAGGTGAGATAGGAACCAAAAGTTTCACTAAATTTCAGAAATCCTTCCTTACATAGAAGTCTTGGATATGGATATTAATGGAAGGCCTCTGCCTTCCCCAGCTTGGATGCCCGTTCACCTCCTCGGAGAGATTAGACTGGAGCTTCAACATTTAAGGTCTCCTATACAAAGAATAAATATTGAACATTTTTTGGCTTGTGCTAGGATAACCTCTGCTGTTGTAAGCCACCGTTTTCGGAACTGAGAGGAAATCTTAAGAAAAGTTGTTAGAAGTTAAGAAAATGCAAGAAAGTAAGATTTTAGGTTACAACGTCACTTGATTCAGTTAAATTTTATTCAAAGAAAGTAAATTTTATGTCAGCTGAATTTCGAGTAAATTTCTTATTCTCATTTTTAACGCGGATTCATACCTTTTCGGGTAGAAAAATAGGTTTTCAAGCTAATTTTTAATCTAGAGTAGTCTCGGATGCTTACCTTTTGAGATATTTGAAAGCCTCGCTTCTTGAATTCCTTTTACCATTTTAAACTTTTATTATCTAGATTCAGTTATTTAAATAATTTTAGGGGTTTTGGGGTTTTGGGGTTTTGGGGTTTTGGGG